ATTAAAATGTTCACCATATATAAGATCTATTGAACAATAAACTCCACTAAATATAAGACTTGTTAATACAATTGAATCATGTTGTTCAATATCTGTTTTCATCATAATTGTTGATGAAATATTTCTATTTAATACAATATTTTTAAACCAAGATGCAATATCAATAGTTGTTACAGAGATTTTTGTTTTATTAGAATTCGGTAATAAACTTGAATCCCAGTAATTATAGAATTTATTATTAGATTGGATATAAAAATCTTGAATTCCATTTGAAATACTAACAGCAGTTGATGTAAAAATTTTCACACGATAATTACGTTTTAAACAATATTTTTCAAATTCTTTTAAATAATTCGAATGAATAGGATTTGCTTCAAAACCAACTGAACAAACTTCTTTTGTATGTTTACCAAAAATTCGTTTAAAAAGTGGAACAACAGATGCATTTGGATATAATTGTGGTTCATAAAGTTTACGAATTTGTACACCAATATTTGTTCCCATATCAATATAAATATAACGACAACCATCAAGAAAATTTTTAGAAGATACATCGGAAAATTGTATTGTTCTTTTCTTTAGAGATGTATCATTTTCGATTATAATATAAAATAGATAGATTAAAACAATAATAAATATTAATAATATCCATATTCTTCTCTTGAACCGTAATCGTTGACTATAATCTTTGTTTAATATTGAACTAAATCTCATTTGTCAATTAAGAAAATCTGCAAGCAAATTTCTCATTAAAATAACAACTGAAACTGTTTAAATATGCTCGTGCTTTACACATAAAATTATAGGTATTTATCATACCAATTCATGTCTTTCTAGATATAAAATAATTCTTTTCTTGTTAAATTGCGTTAGTATCAACTGAAATTCACTCGTATGTCTTTCGATTACCTTTTCTTCCATACGAATAATTCTTCATTATAAATTCCGCGTAAGACATTTTTTTGCAATAACAAAATAGCCATGTGCTTGAAAATTCTGTAGTAGTGGCATTAGAAGAACAAATATGAAAATATTTCGTCACATTCATCTAATAAACATGCTTCGTTTTAATCGTTTCTTACACAAATAACGTCTACTACATTAACAGCAAAATTATTATATGTTTGTTGGCAAGTATTCAACAAGAGTAAGAAAACTTTTATTATACAAATTTAAACACATATTTTATGTTCTCTTGTGAGTTTTCTAATATGCATTTTTATTTTATTATATTCTAAGATATTTTAATATTTTTCAACAAAAAACATATTGTTGAAATTTAATCTTTCTTTTTTTTACTACAATAAAAGTTATCTAAACTACAGTTTTTTTCATATACAATAGTTATTTAATTGATTGAAATTATTATTTAAATATTTTTGTACAATAAAACAAGGGTGGATGTGAACCCATCATTTCTTTACCCACACCCTCATGACATTTTTATGTCATTAAACTTCAGTATAAATCTCATTTTCATCGTTTAAGTCAAGTTGTTTGATAAATTCATCAAAACGCGTAAAGAGTGTTTGAAATGTTGGACGATTATCAGAATTGTTTTGCCAACAAGAACACATTATTTCATAATATTGCTGATGACAATCATTTGGCTAAAAAATATTATCATTTTAAACAAATATAAAAAAAGGTCAAACTTTACTTTCACCAATTGATAACCATCAAGTACTTTTTGTAATATTTCCTTAACTGAATATTGAAGATATGGAATTGAAATATAGGAAATAATTTCATAAAGAAGAAAACCAAAGCTCCATACATCTGACTTAATTGTATATTCATTTGTTATTACGATTTCTGGTGCAGTCCATCCAATTGATAGTTGAGACTCTTAATCAATTGTCGAACGATCATCTTGAAGTTGTTTTGCTAAACCAAAACCACCTATTTTAACAATATCACATTTTCCAACATAAATATTTCGAGCTTAAGAAAAACGTAAAAAATTTCTTTTATTCTTAACAGAATTTTACCAGTTAGATCACAATGAACATATCCTTTTTCTCCAAGATAAATCATTCCATTTATAATCTAAATATAGACAAAATTTCTTTTTTCTAACAAAAGTTTTGTCTTATTTACTTGTATAATAAAATTCAATATAGTTGTTAATTCGATATTTTGTCCTGGTCCATCACGCAAATAATTTAATAGAGATCCATATTTCATAAACTCCATTACAATCAATATTGGTTCTTCTAATGTACATACACCATATAAACAGATAATATTTTCATGTTCAAGTTCTTTCATTATTTTTGCTTCATGAAGAAATCGATTTTTATCATTCATTTTCATAGATTTAATAGCAACATTACGTTGTCCATATGTACCTTTATAAACTTCGTTATAATAATCTTGACTGAGTAGTTCAATACTCGAAAGTTGAGAAAGATCTAATTCTGATAAACCATCATGAACAATTGGTTCTATTTTTTGACATGGATATGTAAGTAAACAGCAAAGACCATCAGTAATTACTTTATAAAAAACACACACAAAATAATGAAATTTTATACCGAATTATTTACTTTGATAATGATTAACAAGATCTTGTAATGATGGAAAAGTGCTTTTTCTACTAATATAATATAAGCCTTGATCGGTTCGATGAATACGATAATGTTTAACATGAAAATATTGTTTATCTTCATTAAAATCAAGAATAGATAATGATTCTTCACCTTCAATAGAAAAAAAATGAAATTACTGAAAATATATCGAATAATTTTACTTTGATTTGTATCCGAAGGTCGAATTAAAAAAGTTTCTTTTCCATTATGTGCTTGTTGAAGAAATCGTTTAGCATCATTACGATTTGTTTCATTAAAATACCATCTACAACGAAATTTAATATTTTCGCATTTTTTTCAAAACTTACTCGCATGTTGTTAAGTCGATTATTGATGAGATGTGGTTTGCTGGAACATAACCAAGTTGTTTAGTTCGAAGATTTTTCGCTGACCACCAATCTTTAAAACTACAAAAACAAAATCAAAAGAGAAATAATTAAACAAAAAAAATTACTTACGAATGTTTATCAATGATTTTTAATTTATCATATTTATGAAATGGCAATTCGTTTTTTGATACTATACCATTAAAATTATAATTAGCAACATACGTTGGTTTTGATGTATGAGAATGTATTATTGGATATATAAGAGGAGAGAGTGGTTTTATCTCTTGTAATTCAATTGAATAAACTTCATTGTTGTGAGTTGAAACAGATTGAACTTTGAATTGTGTCATAGGAAAAAGAAGAATTTCATCTTCTGATTCAAAATAAGAATGTTGACGAATATTTTTTCCAGAAATACATTCAATAGTCAATAATGTTCGCACATTTTGTTTTTCAGCTTGTAAAACATCGGTTGATATACTACAAGAATTAAATCCACACCAGACAATCATTTCATCTGTTTTATATCGTTCACATAAATCGAATTCAATTTCACGATAAATCTTTTGATGAATAGATGGAAGACGAGATAGAGCAGTAAGAAATAATTTAAGATAAAGAAACCATGGTTCAAGTTGATTTCGTTCTTTTGATCGAAGGGTTTTATTTAAAGCCACATGAAGGCATTGATCAATTGGTTTCCATCCCATTGTATAAATCATAATTGAAGCGGATTCATCATTTGATAACCGATCAACTGGTTGCCTTTGACATCGTTGTTTAACAATAGTGACATAATATGCAATATCAGGTAAAAATGGTATTAATGGTTCAACAGCATCTTCAAGTGGAACCAATGACATATCTTCAATACCACTGATTGGTGGAAGCATTTCAAGTGATTCTTCAGCTATATCTTTAATACGACGAATATGATATGCCTTTTGTTCTTCACTATCACTTATGACAAAATTCATAATTATAGATAGGACTTTAAACATACACTTACTTTTCATTCAAATTAATTGAAAACTCAAGATTATTGATATTTTCATACATTATAGATCTAAAATGAGGGAAGATTATATAAAATAACTTATTTAATACACATTTATACTATAGAGAAAGACATAATCATACAGAGGTCAACACATATCTATACGGGCAAAAGGTTAAATAATGCATTCCTAGTATATTGCAAAGTTCATCATATAAGGGTCAAACGACTTATCCAATAAAATAGCGCTTTAATTATTGGCACATATCTTCGTTAAATTCAATGAAATTTATTAATGAGTTGTTATATTTATCAGAGACCTACACCCTCAATTTATTTTCATGTGTATAAGATGGATAACAAATAATCGACCATCTCTATTTTTTATATGTAAATTCAAAATAAGATTTATTGCATGATGAAAAGAATTTTATTAACTGAGTATAACGTAAATCATTTCTTATGTTCTACATGACGATAGTAATAAACATATACACATTAATATAGCTTTGTATGCTTTCCTTCATTTCTTTTTTTTCTTCTTGTGTTTCTATTCTTGATTAGTTATTATTATACCATTTCTGTTGTCGTTTTCTTTCTCGCAAGCATTGCAGAATGGCAAATAAAAGTTGGTGATAATCAATTAATTAAAAGAAAATGGTATTGTATAAATAATTATTTACTCATCACTGATAACATCGAAGGACAAGGATTAAGACAGAAAACGATAAAAACACTATGCTACAGACTTGTAGCTATATTTTATTTAGTTATTTCTTCCTTCGTTCTTTTCTCTATTTCTTTAACGACGACGATTCATCAACTAACGTTTTGTTTGATATAGCTTGAAAAAAAAAACTACGGTAAGATCGTCTATACAAAATATAATTCTTTCAATCATTACTTTCGAAAAATTCTAATAAAGAAATCTAAAAATTATTGTAGATTCATCTTATTTTTCTTTTCTTGTTATGTACTGGAAATAATAATAACAAAAATATTCTTCAGGGAAAATCTTATTTATATAGTATCTTTTAATGACTCGTTGCTTTTCAGATTTTACATAAACGTCTTTACAATACACATTAGATGATTTGGATGCAAGTTCTACTCATTTTATTGTTGACGTTCTATTGGCGAACCGTAGCTATCTCATATAGATCAAACGATGATGCTCATGGTGTAAGAATGTCATTTAACGATCAGTTCGTCGTAGGTGCTTTTAATCACAAGAACAAATATTATATTCGTTTCTTGACGAAGAATAAAGATATCGAATGTATAATTCCGTATGAAAAACCTGAACTCTATATCTACAGTCTTTCTGTTTTGACGATGAAAAAGGAAAGTGAAACATTTTCATTCGTTCAAATCAGTGAAAATGAAACGTCGAATGATGTTATACTTAGTCTCGTCAGTTTCAAACTAACAAATTGTAATAATTCTAGTCCACCTATAGCCTATGATAAAACAGTGTGGAGAAATGGTCATCAAGAATCGATCCTGTTGAAGATTGATCCACAAGAAAAATATGCTTATGTCTTTGCTGATTCATTTATGCTTTCCTATGATTTATCTACAAAGAACGTTGCAATTTATGAATTTAATCAAAATATAATTCCGATTGCGTTCGATCTAACTAACCAATGGGCTTTCTTAATTGGTTATACACCATCGATACGTGGTGATTTCGGTCATCCATATCTATATGTCATTAATCTATTATCTAAAACTTGGTCAACATGTAATGATTCTAATGAAACTTTTCTTCCGCTAATGTCTACACAAAATATATACAGTCGAGATCATGGTGTATCGATTTCAATCAATCCCTCGGGAAAATTTATAGCTATAGGAATTTCGGCAATTAATCGAGTACAAATTTTCGAAACATCTCACATTCGGAACTGTTCGTTTAAATCCATCGATAATATTCAATCAGTACATTTTTTGGATACGATGGGAATAGGTTTTGGTCAATCAGTTGCTTGGCTTGATAATCAAGGTCTACTCGCTGTACTCGTATACAATCCAAAACATCAATTACAACCCGAATCGGAAATACATGTATTTCAAACTCTTACACAAAATAATGAAATGCAACATGTACTGCCTAATTTTATTTTTCCTAACAATCAACAAATATTGCCGAAGAATTGGACGAGCAAATCTTTTCTCCTTATCTTAGCACGTTCAAATAATTTAATGATTCTTTGCGATCGCCACAAATATCTCTATATCCCACTCACTAACGCTGGTAGTCGTCCAATACTATCTGACGAAAGGTATGTACTATATAAATATCTTTTGAAGTTTTGATACCCTTTCTTTCTCTCTTAAGATCAAAAATTGCTTTTGTTCTGCAACCAAAACCATGCGTCAGTGGAACATACAAAAACATATCCAGTATTGGTCCTTGTACAGTATGTTCACCGGGAACGAAAAATTCTGGCAATTATCCAGCTATTATATGTCAACCATGCAATCCAAAGTCGTTTTGTCCATTGGGTGCTAGTGGTAATATACGTTACAATGACTTTCTACTATATAAATCGTACAATCAAACATTTAAATATCCCGAATCACCTTTAATTGATGATTATGACGATATGTTAATGCGCAACTTTCTCGTTGTTGAAGAGACAATGGATTGTGTGTTCAAATTACCTCTTGTGTGGACACTTATAGCCATTGTAACGAGTTTCATCATATGGTTTATTATGTTTTTGATCAAAAGATGGCAACTCACTTCCGTCGACGTTCATCGTAATCGAGCGAAAGCATTTTTCAAACAAATTGATATTATAGGTGAAGGAGAATTGTTGGTAGGAGGTCTCGCATCTTTTGTCGTTCTCACTATTATAATACATTCTTGTTGGTTTGCTCATGATTATTTGCATTCGTATCCTCTCGAAGAAGTAAACTCATCGCGTTTACATTGTCGAAATAATCAAGTTAATACAAAATTCGATAATGCTCTTCAATTACCTTTACCCGAAACCGATGGTACTTACGAAACGATTTTCGATCTGCTTAACAAACAAAAATTTACGATGACTATTGATTTAATAAATACTGGAGCAAAGTGTGCCAATATTTCCGTAGAACGACTGAGATATATGGGTGCTGCAGAAAGTATAATCAAACAGAATTGTACTCTCTTAGATCGCAATGTCACTGGATCGTTTAGCTTTGATCTATCTACCCATACTGATTTTGTACAAGTGACGATTCAAGGACCTTATTTTATTGGAGCTCTACGAATTTGTTTACATGGAGAGAGGGGTTTAGATGAAGTTCAAGAACAAAAACGTCATCAATTAGATGAACTCGATGTATGCACTCTCTTCTATAAAGAGAATCAAACTATCGGACTCTCGACTTATTTTAGTATAAATCTAATCAAAGTGATTAATGTTACAGAACCTTTGACAGCTACAGATGATACGTATTATTCTGGTAGATGGGCACCAAATATAAGATATGTTGATGATCTCTCAGATAGAGATTATTTTAAAAAAGATGGTCAACATTTAAGATATGCTTCACTTTCAACAACATTTAAAATTCGACTTAAAGAAGAATTTTATTTTCTTCTGAATAATCAATCGCCAATTGTTCGTCTGTATGAACTTATCTTCCATACATTTCTATTTATTTTTTTAATCATTGATATTTTTGCTATGGGATTTGTCGTTTATAAACTTTGGTGTCAACCTCTCCTTCGACGATTGTTATCAGCCCGTCATAATATACTTAGACGCAAACTACAATTAAATCATACAGAAACTATGGCCGATGTAAGTCATTCTTTTTGATGAGACTTACTCAATTTTTTTCGAGTTGAGACGATCTGCATCACTGTATAACATAGATCATTTTCTAGCCTTCGTCACAACGACAACTCTCAATGAAGGATACAAATGCTCATTCGAGTAACGACTTGGAGATGAACCTAACAACTCAAGCAGCTTCTACAACTATTAAACAATCGAAGCTTTCATCATCTGAATTGTCTGGTAAGTGCACATGTTCTTATAAAACTTCATCGACTTGTTCTTTTAGATCAGTCTTCTCTATTGGTCACGAATTCCTTATTTGAATACTTCGATAAACGATTTGAAACAATGACGCGGAACATAGAACACATTGCCAGCGATGTTAATACGATGAGAAAACAAATCGATGAATTAATTTTAGATGTTATCTATCTCAAACAACACATGGCTGACATTAAAAAAACTACTTGAGTGACACATTAGTTAACATTTTTTCCTGTTTGATCATTATGTTCCTTGTACCTTTATAGCAATAGATAAAAATCTTCTCGTTATATCCTTGTTAGAGATCAATAAAGACCTCAATGATTTTCATAAAATAATATATAACCATCTAGTTATAAACAATAAATGAGAGCTCAGCATTTTTTCTCTCTATATATTTACTTCATCTAGATGAACTAGTGTGGATGCTGTATCTAAAGTGTATTTGAAAAATAATCCGATCAACTTGAATGACTTGAAAATCGGAATAGAAACTCAACTTCAACGTTTAACTAAAATGAACTAGAGTGTTGTAAAGAAAAAATCAGCTATTTTGTACAAGGTAGCATGAAGATTTTTCTGTAAAGTCACTGATAGCTTTTATTAATACAAGTTTGATCAAAGTACGTCTATGAATATGTTGTTTCTGTAATATCAATCACAACTCACATAACGCGATATTTAAATTGTTAAAATCTCTTTACAAAATACATGATATACGTATTGTCGATGATTACAGTTTCATTAGATTGTTATCTTGGTAATGCAGACGTATATTGACTAAGATTATTTTTATTTCAACGATATTTATTCTGCATATCTCAAGTGAATTTCTTTTCTATGTATGTATGTGCCTCCCATAAAAACCATCTACACTCTCATAAAATCAGCCAACAAAAGTTGTATCGTCAGTTAGAGGTTTTCGCGGAGAAAATCAACGGTATGTTTATTATTCTTTTGGTTCTTCTGTAAAGCTTCGGTGAGATATTGCGTCAGTTAGAATAGAGATTGATTACAAATCTTATAAATTTGAATAACAGACAGATTACATTGATGTAAGAAAAACTTTGACAACAAAGATAATTTTGAAAAGTCTGTATTGCATCTGTCAACATTTACATTAACTGAAGAAAATAACTAGACAAAAAAGTTGAGTTTGAATATTATGGACAACTATTTCTCGCGTCGTAGAATTAGAGAGAAGGAGAACTTATGAATTTCACTTATTCAAGGTTTATCTTTCTCTTCTATTTTATTTATTACTCAATATATCGTAATATGTGTATGTACTGGTACACTTCTCGTTACATTTTTTATTTAGACATTAATACTAAAATATTAGAAAACTTAAACTTGAAAATTCTAAAATCTAGTCGTAGGCAAATATTTGATTAGCTGTTTGACGGTGAACGTATTTCCATAGACCTCATTTAAAAGACGCCAGTGCCCAAAAGATATGAAATTCCTTGAAGTAACCAGCAATGCAGAGACTCACATGACAATCTTTTCATAGACAATATGAATATGTTCTCATTTAACTACCTTACGAGAAATACCTCTACTCTAACGAAGCTTCTAGTGGTTTATAGATAAAGCAAGTTTTTATATGATTTTGCCGATTATACATCTTCTCTTACCTCTCAAAATAAATTCATATTCTTCTATAATTCCTGAAATAGTTTTAATTGATTATTAAAGCAGCAATAGGATTTTTGTATGATATCTCAATATTCTAGAGTCATATTAAGGTGCTTGTTTGGTAAACCATTGGAAGATAAATAAACACGTGTGCAGACATCATCCTGTTAAAAAAACAACAACACTATTATGAAAGTTGTACCCGCTCCTTCCACTCAGCTAACCAGCTTATGGATTAACTCTGCAGAAGCAAGAACAAATGATGAAACACATCTCAATTCAAATACCACCATTGTTACTGCTAATGCGATCAATATGCCTAACAAACAACTAAATGCAAACTGTGTCATTACTACATCTTTACCTTCATCTAATCTTACTGATATTGTGCCAAGGTTGATCAAAGTATACAAAAACCCGATGAAGCTGGCAGCTTTTATTACCTTCCTCATTACTATTGTCTGCATCGCAGCGACCAGTATTTGTTTTATTTTTGTAAAGCGAAAGAGCATGAACAATGAAGATACTATAGTACCGCTGGTGCTAGGTATAATTAGTAGCATAGCAAGCATTTCATTGTTGATTAGTTTCTGTATTTTCGGCTGTGTATTATATGGTGACAGAAACTGGATGAAGGACGTACAACAAATAATTGAAATCGATGGTGAAATATGGCAAAACCAAATAAATTCGATTGGAAATACCGTTCCTCCTAATGCAATGCACCTTGATTGTGTAGGTAATATACACGACCGTCTTAGAATGCGTCCTCATGGTTACATCGTCCTAGCAGAAGGTGGTATTATGATCGACGAACTCTTCGCCATTTCATATGGCGTTTATGTTATACATCGCGTTGACTTGATGTATAATACAAGTCATATAGGGCATATTCTTCGATTAACTCTTGCCACGCGTCTTAGTTTAGAGAAAGAACTTGATAAGGGTACACAAATATTATTTGAAGTATATCTATTCATGCCACTACATATGCAAACTCAAGAGTTGGCTAATATTCGCCAGAATATACTTACAAACTCGCATAAACATCTCACCGCCTCTGGATTTTATGAAAACTCTGCAATTAATCAGAAATGAAATCTATTAACAATCTTGTATGTGAAAACTAACATAGAATTCTAAACAATTATTACATAATCTGTGACTAGTTTAAATACTATTTATGTTTAATCATTTATATTCATTCTAAAAGACATAGATACTTGAGGATGGGTGTGGATAAGGACGTGGTGTGTGAATCAGGCTTTAACTGTAAATATAATATTTCTTAATCACTCACAACCACAAGATGGTTTTCTTTTTCAATTTAATTCGATTGACAACTTTGATTTTAAACGAATGTAATTTATTTTAGAAAAAAAGAAGAACATTTTTCAATTAAAACATTTTTCATATTTTAATATTCGATGATTATGATGATCAGCAACATAAAGATTCTCTTCATCATCGAATGATAAAGCACTGATACCATTCAAATGATTTAATTCTTCTCCCCATCCATTTCCGCCAACAACAATTTCACCTTCTGTATTTTCTTCACACCAACACATTACTCGATCAATTCCTCCATCTGTTGCATAGATTTGACCAAAATGATCCACAATTACTCCTTGTGGAAAAGACACTTGTTTCAGACTAGTTCCCCAATTATTTCCACCAGCAACAACAATTCCTTCTTCTGCATTTTTTCTCCATTTCATCACACGATGATTTCCCCAATCTGATATATAAAGAGAATCATCTTGATCAACAAAAATAAAAGTAGGTCCATTCAGTTGATTGAGATCATTTCCTTTTCCATGTCCTCCAGCAACAATTGTTCCTCTTTCATCTCCTTCTTTCCATCGTCTCACTTCATTATTCTTCAAATCAGAAACATAAATAAATCCATTGTTATCCATTGACAGACCGAAAGAATCGATATCAGAAATAAGAATTTGTTGTTTTATTTCATTTTGATAAAAGCATCGGATTACTCGTCTGTTGTCTCGATCAGAAATGATCAAAGAATTATTTTGTTTATCAATAAGAACATCTGATGGACGAGATAATTGATCAGTTCTGTTTCCTTGACCATTTCCTCCAGCGACGACTCTTCCTTTGTTCGAATGACATTTCCATTCAATAATACGATGATTCATAGAATCAGCAATGAAAACATTGTTGTAAGGATCAATAAAGATTCCTTCAGGACAATTGAGTTGATTTAATTCATTTCCTTGTCCATTTCCTCCCGCCATGATAATTCCATTTTGTTTCCATTTGTTATATTTTATTTTGTTTTGTTCTAAAAATGTGAAAAAAAGTTTTTTTGAGAAGGGATGGATAAGTGTGAGTATGGTATGATTAGATTGCCTACACTCGCACTAGTAATCAGACTAAGAATGTCCTTGTACTATTATTTACCTGCTGAATCTGATGCCATGTTGTTTAATGCTACGTAGATGAATCAATGAAAAATAGTTATACTCTAAAATAGAAAAGGCACCTTATGGTTATAAGTGTGTGTTTTCTCTTCACTCACACTCACAGTCACCTACACACCAGCTTTCCTAGTGGATTTATGTAGTGTAAAGCAAAATAATGAATGAATGCGTACGGGTGAGAGTAAAGTGAGAAGACGTACCTGCACCCTTGAAAAGACAAGAGGATGAGACAAGTCATACGTAGTGCCTTTGATTGATCGCAAAGCAATTATTATTGTGTTGATAATGATTTCTCTCTGCGAAGTGTACAATATATCTGACTCACGAATGATAGGGAAAGTTGAAAAAAGCGTTTATTATATCGATGTAGAAAGAGTGGCAAGCAGAATCAATACTCAAAATTTGATAAGAACTACGTGTTTTCTTTTCAACTGATAATAATATTCTTACCTTTGAATACGTTTCTTTTCTGTTTGAAAGAGATTAGAGAAACCTTCATATATACGCCCGAGATAATGTTACACCATAGAAAGAAACTAAAAAAATATGCATTCTTTCTTTCTTTTGGTTTTGTAATAACATCGTGTTATTCTTTCGTCATGAAACTTGCAAAATATCATCAATCTTGAGGGTGTGGGTGTTGATGGAATATAATATACACACCGACAACCTCAAGATTTCATATTTTCTTTCAAATTCGTAATTACTAACAAAAAATGTCAAATGTTGTATTTTTCAACTTTTTATTCGAATGCGAATAAAAATTCAAATTTTCTATTCAAAAAATCATTTTTAGCTAATTATAATGATCAATCTCTGAAATTGTTCAATAAATAAAATATAAAAGTCGAACTTCTCAGGGTGTAGGGTAAAGTAATAGACGCGAATTTTACCCACACCAACAAGAAAAAAGAGAAGATACATAAATAGGAGAAATGTTAAGGCTAAAATATTACAAATTATTTGGGATAGACAATAATGTGAGATATTTTGCATTATTTTTCATAGAATATTTTTATAATTAAAGTATCTTGTGTTAGTATTTTTTTTAGTTATTCGTCTGATATGTGTTTTTTTTTCTAGATGTTTTTGAAGCTTTTCTTTCCTTTTTGGTAGATGTTAATGAGATTTTTCTTTTTAGTTCCAATGTTCATTGAATACTATGTTTCTTTATTTTGTATGATCTTTTCCTAATAGCATCTCTAGAGTATTTTTTCTGGTTAAAATATAGGAAAAGCGTCCCATATGTTTATCTATGAATTTTAGTAGATACTTATTTAGTAATAACATGACACGAATCCTATTAAGTTCATATCGAAGATCTTATGGATAAGAGCATATTCAAGCAGCTCGTAAGTCTGCTGAATATGATACGTTCTTGGTGATGTGTACAGGGTGCGATGAATAAAATGGAAATACATATGGTTGTGCTGCTAGTGTTCGGAATAGACCTGTTCTGAAATTTGGAATTTCTATTATAGATTTTACATACAAATAGTCTATACTGCTTCTCCTCCTTCCCGTGTGATACTTTTAATCAGATTTTTTTTATTTAATTCTTTTAATATGATTTTTATATGTTCTGGAGGTAATCTGGTGGCGAAAAGAATACCATCTCTAAAACGGAAGTATAACTCCTTTTGTTGATGTTATTGTTCGACAAATAGACGTTCCCATTTTCGTAAGTAGATGTCAGCTAGTACTTGTATAGGATGTGGAATTTAGAGTAAACATACACATCCACATCCTTAAACATATCCCCGTTACCAATAAAAAAATCGGCTGGTTGAATCAAGGCGTAATAGCAATATTGAACTTTTTTCTCGGTAAAATGCCTTTTGGCCCACCTTCAAGACAAATTGTTATTGTCAGTCAGATCACAATCTAGACAAGTTTTTAAATTTACGCATTTCGTATTCAAACAACTGCTATAATATTTTCCTTGTAAGTCATATTTTAACGATGAGTTATTAAGTACAAATACAATTCAAAGAAAAGAATTATTTAATAAGAATCGCATTAAAAAGAATAGACTAAACTTTTTATTACTAAAGATTATTGAAAGAATGATGAGAACGAGAGGAAGTAGCTTTTTTTAATATTAGATGTATATACAACAATAAATTCTATTAATATTTAAGTAAATACTTATAAAAAAATTCTTAGTACTTAATATGAAACCAAATAAGACGTATTTATCATATAAAATTTAAGTTTGGGAAAGATTTTTCAGTATAATCATTTATCTAAATAATACCAAAGTGAAAATATTGAAAAACATTTATAATTGTCTTTATTTCTCTTACAATTATCTTTTCTTTTTATAAATTCTATTCATTTATTATCAAAGGATATGACGTCAATTATGTTTTCAAGACTCAGCAGTTATTTACGTCAATTGAAAATAAAAAAGACTAATTGTATGTAGAGTATTATCTTCCATAAAAAGAATAAAATATATAATATCCATAGTAACTTGTTGTCATATTATATTTAAAACACACTAGTCATCTTAAATGCCGGTTTTTTCTGTTTCTGTTTATTTAGCATTTCAATGTATATTTACAACATTTAATAAATGAGTAATCTATAGTGAATATAAGAAAAAAAGAAAGCATTGACAAACTAACTATAATAAAGAGTTGACGTAAATCATCGTTTTTTTATATCATTTGTTTATCTTCACTTTGTTTTTCTCTCTCTCTTTTCTTAGCGGAAACCGAATTTAAAAATATTTATTCCGCAATCTTTGTAAGTTAACAAAAATTAAGTAGTATGTTTTTCTTTTTCTAATTTAAGTCAGTTACGAGTATGCATATTTAGTTTTTTTCTTTTGACATGCATGATATTTTTTTCTTGATTGTTTTTCAGATATTTCACATCAAGTAACGTTAAAAAAAGATAAAGATTAATATTCTTTGCAAATTGATAAGTATTTATTGCATGGAAGGAAATTCAAGCACAGATATATATATATAGTGACAACGGTGCAGAATATGCTTATCTGCGCGCGCGGCACATGAAAAATTTTTCATTTTTTTGACAATTTCTTCATTATCAATGGGAGAGATTTTTCTGCCGGTAGAAGAATCTTTTATTATAGCGACAAATTCTGCACGGCAGCGTATTCATCATATTTTTCTGAGAAAAAAAATTCTATTTTATTCTTCTTTTAATTATGAAGGGTTGCTCATTGATATCTGCTGAAGATAAGTACATGAATAAAATACATTATTCTAATTCATTGTGAATTATTCCATCCGAAGTAATAACATACAACTATTGCTTTATGAATAAGACAAACATTGATATCGAGAATATTCTTATATATTTATTGCTTATTACTTATAGATCTATTAGAAGCTCCGATTGACAAAGAACATACAATGGATTCCTCATTGAAATTAGGTTCATATGATCCAATAAATGCAAATGAATATTCAATGTCAGAACCACGAGAACAACATCCACATGTAACAAAAACTGAATATTCTCCTATTGGTTCATCGCGTAAACTTAAATTATTGCTTCAACGTTCACTTCGATATTCATATCGGCAACGATGTTGTCGATGTTGTCCAACAATACTTTGTGAACTTTTATTTCCATTTATTCTTATTGGATTATTAGCTTTAATACGTTATGTAGCTAATGCACACAAGTAAGCAAAAAATAACGTAAGACGCCCAACATGACTAGTCTAAAATGTCCGCAACACGCATCAGGTCCAGTCTGAAACGTCTTGCCCACTCGTGACGACTAGTCCCTTTTCGAAGAAAGTCCTTAAAACACGTCTAGACTGGTCCAAAATGTCCTTGTAACCAGTCATGCACAGTCCGATTTGTCCCTTGATCCCGTCCAGACTAGCCTGAAGATTAAAAAAAAAAAAATCAAGGGTGGATTCGAACATCTAACCTGACATTATGCGAAATCAGACGGGCGTCCTGACGACACGTCAGGACATAAAAATAGACTGACGTCATTTTACATAGTCTAAACCACAGATCGGCTACCGTCTATCCACTAGACAATGAAAAACGAGTCGATGGGGAATGATTTTGACTAGTCTAAACCGTCCTTTATAATAGTCAGGACTAGTCTGAAAACTTTAAATGACCTACTTTCTTTGAGCTAAACTGTTCTACTAAATCGTTCAGACTGATCATTGATGGACACTATGTGTACGGAATTGAAGGTATGAGTTTATTTCATATTAAACTTATGTTGATTGATATTGGTACATTATTTACATCCCTGTCTTGATATATCTTATTATTTCTGTATTTTTTTTTATGTTGAAAATGTATAAGAGTATATCGAAAGATAAAAAATAGTAGTAACTAATACAAGAAGAACATGTACTTTGCAGCAAGGAATTGTAAAGTAGATATTTTTTTATTATGGAAAAACCTGGAATCCTAAGATCGTAATATTACATGTAAAGTAAATATTTGACAGTTATCAGATAGACTAAATTCTGAAAAATACTCAAGGAAAAATGCATATCGTTTTATATCATGACTTTACGTTATTTTATTTCAAATATAAATTCTGATAATCTCAAATCTAAGAATAACTTTGTATTTAGCAAAGTTACTTTGATTCTTGGTTAAACATACGATGATTCAAATTCAAAACTCAATTACACTGATATGAAAAATTCTCGTCTTTCCAATAGAAATAGCTTTATTTTTGCATTTTGGATTAATTTTTTCAATGCAACAAATTACTCATAGTTCACAATAATCGAAAGACATCTCACCAAAAAAATAAAATTTTTATTTTCATTTTTTTATTTCATATTATCTAAATAATATAGAGCAGTCATCCTATTCCGGAAAGTTACACATTCCGGAATCGCTTGGCTCACTCAACTTAACATAATTCAATTCCGGAATGCCTTGCATTCGATTCCTGCCTATTCCGGAATTCCTGCACATTCCTACGAATTCCGGAATAGCTCGATCTATTGATATTTACGTAAAACTTAACATAGAGACCTTTCGTCGGTATGCAAGCACAATAGTGTGGGTGCGCGGGGAGCTCGGTCGATGGGCAAACACAATAGTGTGGGTGTGTGGGAGGCTCGGTCCGTGAAGAAGTACGCAATAGGCAGGAATTCCTACCGATTCCGGAAAAGCCGGAATGTGCACGAATTCCGGAATTCCGCTACGGAATGGAATAAGTCGCTCACCATGTTCATTTCCACATCAAGCATATCTTTCGTAATTCCGGAATTGGCAGGAATAGCATTAATCTGATGGAAGGAATTCCGGAATTGGCAGGAATCGAATTCGATCTGTTCCGGAAAAGGCAGGAATCGTATGCAAGGAATTCCGGAATTAAATGATGTTAAATTGGGTGGGGCCAGTGATTCCGGAATGTGTAACTTTTGGGAATAGGAAGCATTCTCATAATATAGTATTTTGATAAAAGAATTATTTATTCATATGAGAACTTGAAAAACTTCGAGTAAAACTGTATTAAATAGCATCTTACAATGATTATGAACATATAGAAGTTGATCTCTCAATCATATGACTGAATGGTATATACGATGGGTAAGTGATAGGCATGCACCAGTACAGCCCGACTGGGTATCCGGTCCAACTGAGTACCCAGTCTAACTGGCAGGGGTGGCGCGAGCCAGCCAAGATTCGGGGGGGGGGTGTAACGAATGTTATTGAATTTCTGGGGGGGGGTGTAGCATCATCTTTGGTAAAAAACCTAAGAAGATGTGCCGACTTTGCTGAGCAAAAAATAGAAATTTTCGAAGATTGGGGGGGTGTAACACCCCCCTCCCCTGGTCGCGCCACCCTTGCTAACTGGGTATATGTTTTAATAGATTCATTATATATTTACTCCTTTTAACTTGCGGTATCTCAATATACTACAATTATCTTAAATTTGCATATTTATTTGTTGATAAGAATTGAGCTAATTATCACCTGAAACAGTGAATTGATTGAAAATTTCTAATATTATCAACAAACATTATGCAGATATAAAATAACTGTAGTATATTGAGATAGCGCAAGTTAAAAGGAATGAATATATAATGTATTAATTAAAACATATACCCAGTCCGACTGGCACTGGGTGCATGCCTGGTAAGTGATAAATTGTATACATGTTCGAATCTAACCTTCCTCCTTGTATATATATATATTTAGACTGGTCCAGACTCGTCCACTAAATATAGTTACAGTCCGTCATACGTACCGTCCCTGACTCCTTTACTTTTTCGATTTTATATTATTTTGCACAGGCGCCTCAGTTGTCCGTCCTGACTAATCTTTGTCTCAAAAACTGCGGACTAGTCATGTCGTCGTCGGATTTGAGACAAAGACCGGGCATGACGAGCCAACATGACTAGGGAAAAGACGCGTCATTTAACCCGTCTTTTGTTCACTTGAGCACGCTTTGAAAAAATAAATAAAAATCCTTTTTCTGATTCAAGAAATTTGTATCATCATCAATGTTCACAAAATCGTGATACAACAATAACAACAAGTTTATCAGCAGATTTAATAAAAAATTGTTTTAAATTTCAACCATATGATGAAAGCGATGGATTTATGTTTTGGTATTTAGAAATATTTTCCCGCATAACAAATTTTGTATTTCAACCAATAACAAATGATACGAATGTTCTTGTTGAACGTGCGAAAACACGTTTGAAAAATATAAATTGTACAAATATAAAAGTTTGGTAAGTTGATCTAATTGATTAATTATATTCAGAAACAAAAACTCTTATTACAGGAATCAAAATATGGATGATAAAAGTTTTAGTCATTTATTACAAAATGAAACAGAAAACGTAGTTATTATTGATTTTAATTCAACATCTAATTTAAAAAATGGGCATAATCTTGATTGTAAGTGTTTAAAGAATAAAAATGTAATCAATTTGCATATATCTATATATAGATAATATAATGGTTGCAATGCCAAGTATTCTTCGTAAAAATGATCCAGTTGATCTATCATTTCTATCATTTTCACATCCAAGTAAATAAACTAAAAATAATTTTACTCATGTAAGATTAAATTTGAATTATATTTAGCATTTATTCGTGATCGATCTAAGACATATGATAGTTATAGTGCTAGTTTTGAAGATTTAAGATTACCCGAATTTAGTGATGTAAAAATATTTATTGATTCATTACTTATTGGTTATCAAACAAATAGAAATATTGAATTTGAAATTCAAAGAAAACCTATAACATGTACGCCATATCGTCAAGATTTGCTTTTTGGTAAAATAAAATTTATATGTATATATTGAAAAAAGAAATAAATATTTTATTTTTTAGAATCAGGACCACCATACGTAACAACAGTATTAATGTTTATTGATTTTGTATATTTTATTCCGTATGTAAAATATTTCTGAATCAATAGATGTATATATCATATATTTGTTTCTTAGATATTTAATTCTTCTAACCAGTTTAATTCGAGAAAAAAATACTAAAGTTAAGGAAATTCTTAAATTACTTGGAATTGAGCCTATTTTAAATAATTTTGTTCAAGCAATTCGGTAAAAAATTATTTTTTTTGTTTCTTTAATTATTATGAATTTAATTTACTTCTTTTTTTGTTTAGAACATTATTTATTATTTGTTTTTTAACTATATTATTATGTATTATGTATAAATTAAAATTAAATCCTGATGCATATTTTAATACAGTTAATTTTGGTGTTCTTTTCATTGGGTATTTTATATATGGTTTACAATTAATATCATTTTGTATCATGAATGCACAATTATTTGATAAAAGTGTTCGTGCAGTATTCGGCACTTTATTCATATATGCTCTATCAATATTTATATACCCATTTATTATTGTATGGCCTACAGCGATACAATATATATTCATATTTCTTAATCCCTATATTGCTGGACGTTCGATTTTTCGAGTAAGAAATTTTATTGATTAGAATTCGAAATTAAAATTTTGTTTTTTTTAGCAAGCGATTTTACATGAGTTAGCGTATAAAGATGTAGCATTATTTCAAACAATTTACCGTCATGTACCAGTGTATTTTGTGGCATTGATTATTATGATTGTTAGTTGTGTTTTCTATTGGATTTTATCTTGGTATTTGGAAAAAGTTTTACAAGGTAAAGAATAACTAATAGTTACAGTAGAGACCTGCGGGACAGTCCCGAATCCCGAAAAATCCCGAATGTCC